GCGAATTTTTGTCTTTTCGGCGGCACGGTAACACTTATCCAATTCAATCAGTAGGGTTCGTTCATTCGCATGTTTCAACAATTCCCTCTTTTGAGCCCACTCGAGATGATGTAAATGACCCGTGATATGTATATCCTCGAGAAAACAGTTTTCTCACCGACGTGAACATTGTCGGCGGCGCGGGCAAACCTGCCAACTCCCGCGCGGAATCGCGGAACGTGTGTGTGTGTGTGTGTGTGTGTGTTTTTAGTTTTTTTTTTTTATTATTGTTGAGAGCAGAGCCGTTGCGAAACGACGAAGCAGGGATCCAGGAGGATCCTCTATTTGCACCGTGTGCCTCTCGAATCCCTTGCGTCTGCGCGAGGGCTTGTGTGAGCTGTATGTGCGTGCGTGCGCGCGTGCGTGCTTGTTCGAGGAGTCTCCCGGCTCAGTGGGCACGCGACAACGGCTTCTGTCGCAGGCACTTGGGCACGCCTTTGTCGACGTCGTCGTCGTCGAAAGTTTGCGGTGGCTCCCTCCCTGTTGTCGCGGGGCGTGCCATTTGCATATGGGGGAAACGGAAAAGGATTGTAGCAGGACGCGAAGGTTTTTGTTTTTTTAGATTTATATCAAGTTCTTCTTTTGTTTTTGACGTGATGTTTGTAGCCCCTTGTTTCCGGTTTAGATCCCCGGTCTCGCTCGCTCGCTTGAACGAGGCGGGGACAGGAGACACGATGAGACGGCGGGTGGTGCCGGTATTTCAAGTTTGGCGTCCTTGCGGAGGACGAAAAATCATGAGCCATTCCATTCTTCGAAGGTGGACGACCAGCGAAGCCCTTTAGCACACGGCACAGACGTGACACAGAATTTTGAACAAAGGAACGAACACATTTATTATCTTCATCGGTGATCATCGCGACGAAAGGTGCGCGCACACATTTATTGTTGTCCTCATCGGTGGCCCTTCTTTCGCGTGGACGACTATCGCCGCCCCGAGGAGCCGGCGGAAAGTAGACACGCACGTCGGGACCGCCACCCCGGCAGAGCGGAAGGAAAGAAAACTAGGCACGCAAGTGCATGGAACGACGACAAAGAGAGGATGGTGCGTGCCATCTTTGAGTTTTTGTTGACGCACACGAAAAACCCACAGAACCCTAGCCATAAACAGCTTGGCTGTAAAACCGACGACATTTGGCCACACGAGGTGCGGGCATTGCGCATGTTCGGAAACCGAATTCTCAGCGCATGCGCCATACTAACAGCAGCGCCACCGCAGCAGACGCTTTGCACACGCGCCAGATTGCAGCCGCCATTGCTGCCCTTCTCTCGTCTTACCGTGGTCCCTAGCCACTGAATCGTGCGACGACGAGCCTCCACAAAGGCCTATGCTGGGGAGAGGGACACGGTAGAAACTAAAATGGCAATAACCCGCCCTGCTGTGGTAATAATGAAATGAAATGAACGAAATAAGAGGAAACAAAAAATTGAAGGTAGGTTATGGCGGCGCCCATGCACAGATGCCGTAAAGAGTTTATACCGGCAGACGCTTGAAAAGGTGTTCTATACTGGTATAGAAGACTTCGTGATGCGTTCTGGTAAAACCAAATAAAGAATCAAGGCAGGGGAACCGAGAAGAGAGGAAATTTGTTTTTCAAAGTGTCTCTCGTAGAAGAGTTAAACATTTTAGATGCCCTGTGAAACCCTGAAGACTTGACCTAGTTCGTTTTGGTAGTAACAACTACGGCTGGGCGTCGATTAAAAGTTCTAATCCGATTAATTGCCACCCTTTAATCGATTAATTAATCGATTAATCGGTGACGTTTATTTCTGTGCACAATATAGAAAGGCAAATTATTTATTTTCTTGCCTTTGCTGATTATCTGATAAAGGGCGCAATATTTAACTTGGACTATAAATAAATCTCGATATTTAGTTAATGACTGTTCAAAGACACTCACAGTCAGATATTATTATTTTAGGTGCACGAGGCAAAGAGGTTCGTTCATACTCTCCGGCAAGAGCCACCTCTTTGGATTTTTCACAATAGTCTCTACTGTACGCTAAACCGACACCCAAAGGGCGTAAAGTAGTCAGGACACGTGTAGCCTTCTGCACTCGTCTGGGAATCTCGCCCCTACAGTTTACTTTTTTTTTCAAAATTTGACCTAAAGTTTGCCCTTCATACAGGTGTATTCGTCCATGTCTGAGTAGTGAAAGCTTAATCGACCAATTGCCCAGCCCTAGTAACAACTATTGCTCATTTGTGACGGTATGAAGTTCCCGTTATAGACACTACTAGAATTCCTGTGTGTACCTATGGTAGCAGAGTTGCGCGTTCACCCTTGGTGGGTGGGCATAGCGCCGGCTTTCCTGCACGGCCCGGGATGCTTTGCTCGTCACGTCTCTAAATTCGGTGAATGGCGCGTCGCGCGCGCGGCCGTTCATGGAAAACAAGAAATGAGACGAAGGCGGAAGGGAAACACACACCGGGGCGCGTGCAACGTCGGTGGAGCGACCATAGCGGTGGCTTTCCTACACGGCGCTGGATGCCTAGCTCCTCACGTGATCGATATCGGCCAATAGCGACGTGGCGGGTGGGGGAAAACAAACGCCCACCTCTCCTCCTCGCGATAACGAAAATGACCCGTGATATGCAAGACCTTTATATGTATATCCACGAGAAAACAGTTTTCCCATCGATGTACTCGATACGCTGAACATATATCGAGTACATCGATATGCTGAGCATATCGATGTACTCGATGTACTGAAACTTTGGTCCCTATCATCATCTGAGTGATGAAGGAAGAAGTTCAAGATTCTACCCAGCGAAGGATGTATGGGCAGGAGATCGAACTATAGGGGGTACTTAATCTAGCTCGCTGTCCACACAGTCCTGTATTCACTAACACAGCATAACAAAGAAATTAAACCCGGCCTAGCGCGGTCTGGGCACGAGCGCTTCGCTTTGACCAGTGCTTTGGTCGCACGAGCAGCGGCCTTCGAATCGTCATTTTCGATTCCTGTTATCAAAACCAAACAAGGAAATTCGGTTAGCTGTTCCCACAGCTGGAGCGCTCAGCTAAAGGCGTGGCTGTTCGACCTGCTCCCCAATAGACCCCTTCAAAAACTACGCCTTCTTACGGTTGATCTGAAACTACCGCTAAGTGGCGTGCACAAAAGACACCATTAAAATGGGAAGTCTATATATTGTATACAGTCTATTGGAATTATTACTTCAGTTATAAACTTGCAAGTTTAATAAAAATTTCGTTTTTTTGTGCACATTATTTTGCATTATCTTTAGATAATGCAAAAGGGCGTAATTTTTGAAGGGGTCTAAATGAGGTCTGAGCGTTCGAGACGTCAATAGAACACGACGCACAAAATAGATACTACAGCTGCGTAAGCCTTTATTACAGAGTGTGGTCCAATTATCCTCTTGGTCCAAGTCTGTCTCTAAAGTATTTTGCTGGCGGAAATTTAATCAAGGTGCTTATGGGTGGCCGCTTTGTACAGGGCAGTTCTTAAAGTAACCATATAAACCGAAACAGATCAAGAAAAAATCTATTTGTCCGATAGGCTGTGCGATGGCGTTATCTATAGCAGGCTCCCTTGTTCTTAGGCTTCTTGCACCTGACGTAACCTTCTGGTTAGCCTCGAAATCGAAACCAACATTCTCGTCTGCCATCCGTGCCTTGGCGCAGTGTTTGCAGGTATTCGACGTCTTATTGTGGCAGCAGTAGTGCCGTAGATCACTGGCGTTTCCCTCGTTATCCTTTGATGATAAAACAAATTGCTGGCGAGCAGCTGATAGTACACAGGTCAGAATAAACGTGACTTGTGTTCAACATCCTCGGACGGCACTTGAATGCGTGCGCGGAGTGCCGTCCCTCAACACTACAAGGCCTCGCAAGAGTGCCGTCGGACGGGAAAAAGTGCGTAGCCTGCTAATCATTTGCGGTAACGGCCAAGAAAAGTAGGACCGCTCTTTATACGCTAAATTGTTAGGCGATATTACGGAAAACTTGTCAGTACTGTAGCCGATACTCCAACTTTTTAACTGGCTACTTTGATAAAGTCTGAAGCCGCCACAAAAATAATTTCATCTGCTTAACTTATCTATCGCAAAGGGGTTCCTCACCCGACACGAAGTGCAGTCAACACACCTTTAGTTTGTGCAAAGCTTTTCTGTCGAGATTTTGCCGGTATACCCGTCGAAGCCATTCATGACGCCTATGAACCGGTTGCTTGAGCACCGTGTTGTCCTGGCTCCTAAAGGTTGCCGGAATGCTGAACAAAACCAACCCTGCTAACCGTAGCTCCCTTTTGTCGCTAACGTTTTAGGGCCGGAAGAATTAATTACGGCCCAACTGACCATTTTCTACCTCGAGTGAGCGGACAAACTACAGTGCGAACACGCCCCCAAAGCACACAAAACATAGCATAGAACAGCGACGAATGCCTCCAACATGGATTCCGGCGGGTTCCGACGACATTTCCGAACCGGGACTTGCGTTGTATCATGATCTCGTGCAAGAACCCTACACGGAGCGCAAGTTCGTCTGCTTCTTGCGTGGGGGTTGTTGCAGTGCTGTCAAAACGCCGAGGCCTGATTGGCTCTGATGAAGGGATACTGGATAGACGTCAAAGCAAGCTGCCGTGAGGTCTACCCACTATCCTTCCAATCGAAACCAATCGGAGCTTGGATGCGTCAAGGTGCCTTTGTTCTGTCCCCCTACCATAAGCAATGTGGGCACGCGCCTCGCTGCCTCGTCATCGTAAGCTCCCTGCGAGTTATCTATGTTGTACCTTGATTGGGATTTGTCCCTCGCGTTCCAATGCGCGAAAGGACGCATTTTGCTACCTTGCTCGCCGTATAGCTAAGTCAGCCCAACAAAAGCAACAAAACAGCACGAATCTCAATTTGCTTTAATTTGTTGCGCTCCCTTTGACTTATATAGTACTACCTTCTCGTTTTTCTGACAACATGGCACTTTTTTTATTCTTTCTTTTTGTAGGAATGACGACGCTACGGAAAGATGTCCGGGTGGCCATGGTACTCTCTCTGGTGTTCAGCGCTGCAGCATCATCTACATCCGGTACGACCTTCAATACGTTTATATAGAGAAACCTCGTCACAAACGACGACAATAACAACCCCAACCAACAAACCAACAATAAGCATCAACGAATCTACAACCAAACACAGACATTTACGCCGATGAACTCTACAGCCAGATATTGAGGTACCTCCTGTTCTCTATGGGCAGCTTATGTCTCAGCTGTAGAGGAGAAATTTAGCCAGTGCTGTGCAACCGCTAGCCTGGGGTCTTTACACGTCAACCACGCAGTAGTGATTCACGACCACATGCACGCCGGCCGGTACGATGCTCATCAAGTTCGAAACGGGCAGGGGTGGGGATCGAACCCAGGATTCCTGGGGTTCTCTCGCGCCGGCTTTCGCTCGGCGCGCTCCGAGCTATTCCCCTCACAGCCATTGTTGTGCGAACGCAAAAAACACATACCTCGAGCGAGCTGTGCCGGCATTTGCTTGCAGGAAGTGCAGGAGGCGCGGGCCCTGTGCTTTGGCGCATTGGACACATTTGACGCTACTTGCGGAACAAGCACAAACACATCGAGGGTTTTTACCCTTTCCTAAATCCCCTCTATTCTGGGAAAAGTGGCGCCATTCATTGTTGTGGAAATGCTCGAGACACGTGCCGCGCGTCACTTCTGGGAAGAACATGGCGTCTGAAATCTAGCCCAGTGCTGGGCTGTGCCGCTATAATCTTCCCAAGGGCTGCACGTTGCACGCGCCTCGTGCATCCATGCACCTTGCGCTACTTTTGAAACATGAAGGGGCTTTATACGTTTCCTGCTACGTTGCGCCACTTAGCGGCGCAGTGTACAGCTACTGTACTATCTGAGCTGTCACATAAGCTGAGTGGCGCTGGGACGCTCTGAAATCGTCCTAAACGGCCACAGCGTGTTCTGCTTTATTTTGTCTACGATTGGACATACACTGAACGAGGTCTTCCTGGAATTGCCGTAAAGACTCGGAAGAAATAATATTACTAACAAAGTTTTAAACTCTAGGTAAGGTTGTTTTTAGCGTTTTGTAATGGTGCTAAGTCACTTTTCCGGAATTTCTGAAAAAAAATGAAAGGAATGAAATATACAAAAGAATAATATCTTGCTTATTTATTTACACAGAAAATTGAGTATTCGTTACACGTCGTTAACTAAAAACACAGAAAAAAAAAAGAGCGGCTGTGTTTTTTTTTGTTTTTTTTTTTAATTTGCAGTTTTGCTTTTGAGTAATCAAGGTACTGGGAAAGACCTCCACGATGAATGCAAGTGCTAAAAAATAGCCTTTGAAGTTTTGACACCTATTCAGAATAGGCAGGGTATAGTTGTAGTAACCTTCTATTCATCATTTAGCTTCAAATTTGAAGAAAACCCCTTAGCAAGCACACCTTTAGTTTTTATCAAACGAGACTCAGCGAAGGTCAATTAGAAGAGGCGAACAACCTAAACGTAAAAAACTAAATTTAGATCTTTTTAATTTGTGATTTACCACGTGATCAGCTACCGTTGCCGTTGGATTGGGTCACCTGGTTGTTTCTTAACGATTTCAGGAGTGTTCAGCTGCGTAAGCCCCCCACCCCTTCTCTCCGCCTCCCTTACTACACCACATACGTAGCACCTCCTTACAGGATCCGTTCATTAGCACAGGCAGCAGCAATGAGAGCATGATGACGTTGTTTTCTTTCTATTTCCAACGCAGGCGAGCCGGCACCGGCGTCGACACCGGCTCCCTGCTCCAAGGAGCACATATCGTACGAGAGGCTGTCCGGTTACAAGGTGGCCGACTTGCTCGGCGGAGGTCGCACGTCTCCGACCAAACCGCCGTCCTCGGCCGAGGACTGCTACGTCCGGTGCCTAGACGACGACCGGTGCCGCGGTTACAGCGTCAACCACGTTCGCCAGGCGTGCGCCCTGACGTGGTTCGATGTGGCCAACCGCTCGGACTACCTGCTCCCAGATTCCAACTGGAGCTTCCATCGGAAGATCTGTCTTCCCGGTAAGTCCGCTCTTTGATAAAAACAAAGTACACCTTAAAAAAAAAAAAACAAAAAAAAAAAACGATTTACGCGCAGGGACAACGCGAATGACGTTCACTTGCTCACTTTTCACGCGTACTTCGTTTTTTTCAAAGCATGAAATACTTTACCCAATCCCAAACGTTTGTTCGTCCATCCGCTTGTGCATTTCCTCCTAAATTTAGCGGGGAAACTGCATTGGTGTTGAGGTTAACGAGGTCACGTGACCTGACGTCACGTGATCTATACACCAATCCAGTTTCCCCGCTAAATTCAGCCGGGAAATTTATGTAATGCGACCTGACGTCATATTATCTATACATCGATTCACTTTTCCCGCTAAATTTAGCTAGAACTTTGATTTTACCTAACCTGACGTCACGAGATCTATGCACCAATTTAGTTTCCCCGCTCAATACGTCCGGGAATAAGACAAGACTAAAGATTCTTCACTCCCCGAAACAACGGTCTAAAGGGATACTTCAATGGAATTTTTAAATACACCCGTCGTGTTCAGAAATAGGCTGAATATGATTCACGACATCCGTAAATGACAACGACGCGTTTGTATTTCAAGCCTGATGGCTGTATTTTTCGTTATGAACGGCTCACTCTGGCAAGCGCTTGGAGAGCAGCCAGCGGGGAGCACGTGACATCCGGCGCAATCGTGACGTAATCTGCCTCGAAACGAGCAAAGCTGCAGCGCGAGGCTGACTTCGGCGAGACGATTGGAAGCAGGGCATCTGGTCGCCCCCATGTCCCTCTGTTCGCGCGGACAGCTCCGTGCAGTTACACGCTTCTCAAAGCCACATTCACGCGTACGCTGCACATGCTTGCACGCATGGGGCACCAGGGAGGCTATAGTTCTAAGCGAGACAGGCATCGTCATTATCCGTCAATGCCCCTAGACGGAAATTACGAGCGAGGCTTGAGGGACAACCAAAAGGTTCCATTTGCTAAGCGTTTAATTCTTTTTTAATTTTCTTTTCGTGTTTTTTTTTTCTTTTTCAACAAGGGGTTGGGGTGTCCGATGTGTTACTGCTCTTTTGAACATGCACGAACCAAGAAATAAGCGCCGAAATTTTGTTGAAGTATTCATTTAATGTCTTCTAAATAATTTTAAAATATTGCACCTTAAATACTAGATTTCATACATGAAAATCGCTGCCACTTGATTTTTTTAATTTAATTTAATTTTAATTTTTGTCATTCACTAGGATCATTCTGTGCGCAGCACAAGTTCGTCTGCTTTTTTTTTGCGGGGGTTGCAGTGACGTCAGACAGACGCCGAGCTCTGATTGGCTCTGATTGAACGATAGGGGGTAGACCTCAAGGCAGCTTGATGTGAGGTCTACCCACTATCCTTCAAAGCAGAGCCAATCAGACCTCGGCGTCTGTCTGACGTCACTGCAACCCCCGCAAAAGAAGCAGACGAACCTGCGCTTTCCAATGTTTGCCGTGATTGGCCGTTCTCATGTTCTGCGGGAAGGCAAACTCACAGCCTTTTTTTTCGAGTGCACTTTTCCTCGTTGGCACTCCCATTCGTGCCTTGTAGTGGCATCAGATCGGCGGCCATTGTGACGGTTTTGATGCGGAGTGCGAATGTACACGCTGGAGCAAACATTTCATACCGTCGAGTTTGGTTTTCTCGACAAGGACAAACAGGAACGAGCACTAGGGCGATACGGTGCTATAATGTGCAAGTCACGTGTGTAGATTTGTTAGTGATTTCTTGAGTAGTCACGTCGGTCATGACCGCATTCATTTGTCAATGAAATGACCATTACGTCTTTAGCCAATCATTAACATGACCGAAACGCGATTGTTACTGGAGCAATGGCTTGCAGGCTTCAGAGTGGGGTCGCCAACCATGTCCAGCAAAACCCAATCATGGACTCGCATTTCGCTTGTTTGTGGCGCCATCCATTCTATATATATATACTTTTTTTTTTTCAGAGTATAAGGTGCTTAGGAAAGTTTAATTGTTCAGACAGTGCCTCGCAGCATCCAATATGCCGACCTATTTTTTCGCGGTGTTTTCGCAGTCGACGGAGACTCTTAATTTAAAATACGTGTTTCGCGAGCGTAATTTGGTGCAAGCGGGGTACAGAAAAGCATGACACCAAAGCGACACGCCGAAGCGCCACGGCCGTCTAATCCCGCTCAATTTTAGCGGAATGTGAGCCCGTTCCCATCCGGCGAAACCGTCCGCGCACACCACAACCTAGTAAACGCGAGCCCCTACGCCTTTTTTTTTTTCCAGTTGCTGGTGTAAGTAATTATCTTACCGTGTATAGACATCACCAATGGCGTTCTCGTCGGAGGTCGCGGTATTAGACTTGGAGGCTTAACGATTACACCCAAATTTACTGACCCCAAAAACGTATTCTGCGTACAACTATATTTGTCAGGCATACCAAAGTACCGCCGTAAATGTTTTTCAGACGCTACTCGAGTTTACAGAAAGCAGCGCGTAAAATAGAACTGCATCTGCACGACGATTGAACAAGTGACCCAGTTCTGCAGAAAAGCAGACTAAACTTTTTTCCTGACTTACCCCTTGTCGCGCATTTTTATCACCTTTTTCCTTTAAACCCCCTTTCCGCCACCCCCCCCCCCCCCTCTTGCCTTATACGCTCCTTGCTGAAGATTTCTAATTTCCCTTCTTATATGGAGAGTTTTAATATATATAGGTGCACTTTAGATTACATATATGTTACCTTATCAAGACATACACACACTTCAAATGCCAAAAGCATCGCTTATTCCTCCGACAATTCAATCTAATAAGTACTTCGCGCGGCATATCAACAATGTGCAAAACTTCCTATTTTTTTCTAGGTGAGAACGAGCATAATTAAATCTTGCATTTTGTCTTCAATCTTGAACACATGGCGAGCGAGTCTTGCCGCGTTTTCCGTCTTCTCAAACGGAAGGGCGTGCAAATTTTTTTTCTAGGAGCACACAGCCAACGTACATTGCTGTCAATGTTGTGGACGTTACCGAAAAAAAAAGAATAACGAAATAATCATTCGTTGTTTGCAAAATAAAGGTGCGCGATACCGACCTACGCAAACTCACAATAAAAGGAACGAATAATCGTTACCGTTGCCGATAATAATAAAAAAAAAAAAAAAAAAAAAAACGCGTTACCCTTGCATTACCTCAGGAATTGACGGTAGCACCGTTTTTTATGGCGACAGCGTTGTTGGTTACTAAAAAAACAACAAGGGTAAACGTTAGTTTTTTTGTTTTTTTTTTTGAAGTAGGAATTTTTGCGTGGGAAAAAGTAAGGTAAAATTTTGAAGGTATGTGGAATAAGCGAAATGATTAGTGATTTGGCGCCTATCTTTCTTGTCAGCTTAGGTCCAAACGCAGCCAACGGTATACGAGCTAGCCAATCATGAAGCGTCAAAAGCTCGAGTCGTTGGGCCTTTTTTCGTTTATGATTGGTTCAGCGATGACAGAACTCATACAGGAACACGGCGAACACCACGATGGTGCCCTTTTTACTCTCTCTGATTGGTCCCATCTGCTGGTAGCGTTGTTTGCGTTTGGACTTATAGGCCGACGGCCAGACCCGAGATTTTGCAAGGCAGAAGATCCTACTTGCCATGGGGGAGGAGGAAACGGTAGACAGGGCAGAACGGGGAGAGGAGGAAGTTAGGGAAAAGCGGAAAGCGCGAACTGGTCGCCGGTCTTTAAGGTAACACGAAGTATATAAAAAAAAACGGGGAAAAAAAAACAAGTGTACTTTTTTCAGGTTTTGGGAAGATGTAGCGAGTACCGCACTTACGTTGCATTTAGGTAACGTAAGTCTTATTTCGGAGAAGTAATGGGTACGTTAATATGTTACCAAACAAAAAGGAACGTGCTGCCGGTAACTTCGTCACTTGTAAACCTCTACCGCCAACGCCGATTGCCGGGTCTTTGGCGTGTAAGGCCCATTCGAGGTAGCGTGTTGAACGTTTCACGCGGAGTGTGTTTGCGGGTCTGTCGCTTTTAAATTATTAATGGCTCCCGCTGGGTCGGGCATATCCTCCGCGAATTTCGCGCGCGCACTCGGAGACGAGGGGGCGTGCCAAGGAATAAAAGTGGGGAAACGCATTGGATATTCTCTTTCATTAGTCAAAGTTGCGACCGTTCGGGGCTCCATTAAAGTTTTTTTTTTATATATATATTTTGTTTCGCTTCAAGTTTAAAATGGGCCATCTGGAATGCCCAGCCGTGCCCTGTCTTAAAATGGGACTACCTCGTCGGTGTGAAAAATTCAGTATGTTGTCTTTTTTTCTTTCTTCTAGACTTACTAAAAATGCGATTTGTTATTTTAGGAGCTTGACGAGTACAGCATGACTGAAATAGAAACAGCAGAGTGCGATAAGCTGGGGAGATTTATCGTGCGCACGCGTAAGCTTGTATTCAACTATGCATCGGAATGATTGGGATTTAGCGGCGGATTTCTGGGGGCGTTCTTTCCTGTTAGCCTTGTTCCATGCAGTGATCCACAGGCGCAAAATATTGCTCCGGAAACATCGGTAGCGCTAGGGTGGTGATTCGAATCTGATTAGTGCTTGCGAAGATTATGTGGAACAAGCCGTGTGCATATTCGGCGTTGTGTGAGCTTAGGAAGATATAGCGAGGCTAAACTTTCACAAAATAACCTAGTTTACAAATGCAGTTGGTTGGATCGACCTTGCCCACCTTTGGCAACACTAATTGGGTGTTATCTATTTTTGCTCGCTGAATATACAACTTTACAGGCTATGTTTTCACTGTCGGGATAAAATATGCAATCTACATAGCAGTTTCAGACCGTTTAGAACACCTGCACACGCGCCTACGCATTTAGTAGATTTGTTACATGACTAATCAGGTCGGTGTGGATTTACTTGCGGTGAAGTTAATGATATCATCCGCTACAAGTGTGCTGCATTCAGACTTGTACACGTTACCGCAAAAACGTAACCGATTACAATTACAA